AAATGCCGTGCGCCCCACTATATCGTTAGTGTTTAGCACACCGTTGTTTTATTTTCACCGCCCTCACTAATACCTCCATCTATCCGCCCCACCGTCCAAGGCTCCCTGCACTCTCCCTGTTCACGCACAGCCACCCCCGTCAAGTTTATCTCCCCACGCACTCCTGTAACTCGGCCCTACCGTCCATTCAGTCGGCTGCGCAGAGAGCGGGTGGTGAACCACTGATTGGCCAGAAGACGGCCGCCGGTGACGACGGCGTACCGGTGTCGGCTTACAACTGCTGATGAGGCTCGAGTGTCCGATGACGAATTGCAGACTCGTGTTCGGGTCGCGCGGGGTCGCGGAGCAGTGGCACGGGTAGTTATTGAACGGGTTCTCACGGGAAGATCATTTGTCACTTGAATGGGGGAGACGGTAATGAAGTAGGTATGCGAATTTTGATGTGCCATTGTATAGAGATCTTGTACACGGTGGCATGATATGCGATGACGGCCGCCGGCCGCCCTCCAGTGCTCTTTGGTGACCCCTCCCTCGCTGGTGCCCTGCGGTGACCGCTCCCTCTCTGGTGCCCTGTGGTGATGCTGGTGACGTGTCCTGCCGTCACCCAGAGTCCATTTACGGGTCACAGCGACCGCTGTCAGCCTGCGTGTCGTCTAGCGATGGATGGTGGGCCGTGATAGGTCACCAGCGGCGGCCATATGGACTCTGTTGTATGTCTGTGTGTCTGTCTGTCTGTGTGTCCGTATGTCTGTCCCTGTCTGCCTGTGTGGCTATGTATCTGTCTGTCTGTCTGTCTGTCTGTCTGTCTGTCTGTCTGTCTGTCTGCGTACTCGCGCTTCGTCATCTAACAGGATTTCCGTGAAACTCATGTGGCATGACTTCCCAAAGTTCATGGCATCTAGCAGTACATAACTACTGTATATGCAGACTCGAACAAACGACCTCCGTCCTCCAGATGCATTGGGCAGGGTCACCAGAGTAGCTACTCCCAGATAAGCAATTTATTGGACCAGGGGAGCAATTGCCCGATACACAATTACTCCTTTTTGCTGCAATCAAGCGATTATTCACTTTGGTCTCTCATGCCCCAAAACGATTGCCTTTATTCCTTCGAGGAAAACGAATACATTTGGCGCCAAAAAAGCGTTGCGATATATTGCATCAAGAAACACCGAATCGATGTTACATAGGTTGTTACACTTCGCATTCATCCCAGCGTAAACGCAAATGTCGCTGGTCTTCATTTAGGGATGGGTTTTATTTTCTCCAGAAACAAATAATACAAGATTCTGTGTCCATTGTGCACGGTTGTCTAAGAAGATATCTTATTATCTAGTCCATCTTTTCATACCACGGTGAGTTGTGTAACCCACCGGCACCCTCTCACGTTACGTTTATCCAGCTAACCGGGCTGCCGCTCTCCATTGCACCTATGTACTGACTGCAGTCTGGGCGTTTTACCAGCTTAACCTTGCCGTTTTCATTGCTTCAGATGTACTCGCTGGTCTGGGCGTGTGACCTGATGGTGCGGATCGACCCGCTGGACGTATTCATCCTCCTCATCTCCTGCATCTGCCACGACCTGGACCACCCCGGCTACAACAACATCTACCAGGTCAGTTACTAGTTAGAGACGGGTTACAACGTCTACCAGGTCAGTCAGAGATGGGAAACACATCTACCAGGTTAGTCGGGGTGGATACAACATCTATAGGTACCGGGTCAGTTAGAGATGGGTGCAACATCTACCGGATCAGTTAGAGTCTGGCAACAACATCTACTAGGTCAGTTAGAGATGGATATGACGGATACACCAGGTCAGTTCGAGACGGGCAGCACATCTACCAGGTCAGTTAGAGATGGACGCAGCAGCTACCAGGTCAGTTAGAGAATGGCAACACATCTACCAGGTCAGTTAGAGACTGGCACAACATCTACTAGGTCACCCAGGAACATCTATCAGGTCAGTTAGCCCTGATAGATTAGCCCTGATGTGTTACCCGTCTCTAAATGACCTGCAGGTCATTTAGAGACGGGTACCACATCTACCAGGTCAGTCGAGATGGACACAACATCAATGACTGATCGGTTCAAGACTGGCAGCACATTTATCAGGCCAGTCAGCGACGCGGGCTGACTGACCTGGTTAGCCAGGAACACATCTATTCCAGGTCGGTTAGTGACGGACAGCTCACCTAAAAGTCAGTCAGTCCTTCCCCTCAGCATCTCCAGGCCCCAGCAGCGGACTGTGTGATCTAGTGACCGTAAACTTATTGCAGGTCAGAGGTATCGGGCTGCCACGGCCTATTTCTGAACCTCGCCACCCGTTATCCGTGGCGATATAGAGAACAAATCGCATTTTCCCAGCTCGTTCCCGCGCGAGAGGGTGTCATCTCGTGTTCCCGAGTGGGACAGATTGACAGATATGTGACGGGTAACTGCATATCAGCAGCCGTGATGGGTTCGGCGATTGCATAACTCGTTCCATATGCGTATACGGAATAGGAACTGTCCTACAGGGTAAAATCCTATTTTGTTTTCATTCGGGATGCATCAGGCGCTGAAGGTCACGCCCATAACTTACGACATGGTAAAGGGAGGAAGCGTGAGCTTAGAACAACATACGCTAGTGCTGCTCTACGTCACTAAACCTTTTTTGTAGCGGACATTCATTTTCTCCAAAGATTTTAAATCCATTAGATCGGAGTGTGATTGGATAATTAAAATTATCCGGCATCTCCGGAGTCCGGACTCCAATCATTAATCATACCCCACAAACACTGTAAACGTACATATAACAACACAAACACTGTAAAAGCTGTCGTAAGCTTTCGTATGCCCAGTGCCGCCCATCTGTTGCGTCCGTCGTCCCAGGTGAAATGCGCGGCGGTGTCACAGTCACCGTCGCTGTCCATTCGCGTATCTGGGTTTTTGTCGCTGTTTGCCCGTATGGCCGCAATGGCTGGCCTGTTTTCGTCCGGCCGACTGAAAGCGATCCCGTGTCAGCGCTGGCGACGCCGCCGGAGCGCCGCAGGGAGTCGAACTGCCAGCGGCGCGGGCTCCCCACCTCAGTGACCCAGGGCAGGGCAGAGCGGCCACTGACCCCACCGGGGTGGTAGGGGGGGGAGCCATGTCACGGACCCATTATCAGTGGCCTTTAGACGTCATGCTGCCTACGTTTATTGTGGGTGAATGTTTGGGAAAATGGCCTCCAAAGTCCAGCGGCACTATTTGATCTACTTAGGTACTGACTGACGTTTTCCAATTTTGTCTAGTTTTTTTTACAAAAAATATGAGCTTTTTTGACAAACATTAGCATTGGTGTGCAAAATTAAAAGCTGCTAAAAGCAGCCTCAGAATGCCTCCCAGCCTCCTCCACCCACGGCCACCTCTCGGTATTTTAGGGTCACCATACTCAGCCCCGGCCCGGTTTGGGGTCAGCACTACTGCGCGCCGGCCCTCGGTGGTAAGGTCAGTGGCCAGTCGGCGTCACCACCCATTTGGGCCAGTCCGACGCAGCGCAGAACCGTCACCGACCCGACTAGGTCGGCTTCTCTGGTCGCCAGAAACGTCAACACAGCGCCGCAATCGACCGCTTACCGATACACAGCTCTGGGGACGCTGAAATCCGCAATGACTCGCGGTAAAGGCTTAAAAAACATCGATAAAAGTCCGTGAAGAAACGAAAATAAGTACGTCAGTCGGTTTCGAGCTAAGCTTAGGCGCCGGAAATCAATTAATTAACATCGCTTCTCAATGACGTTTCACCGAAGTGCTCAGGTATATTTTATTATTAAAAGGGCTTCATTTTGAAAGGCTTATAAGTGGATTGTATTTATATCACAGACCTCAATATGCACTTGCCGACACATCTATCCGTACTGTAGTTGCGGACATTTGCCGCTCTTTATACGCTATCCACAGGCAGCCTGGTCGAATTACATCGGACTCTGACGTCAACAGGTCGTTTACCTATCGCCGCTATAGGGGAAGCCGGGGGAAGCCCGGGCGCGGGGGATGCCCGGCAACCCCGTTTCCGGCTAAATTATTCACAAAAAAATGCTCAACTGTTTGTCCTTTCAGCGTGGCAGCTGAGGTAACGCCAGCGCAAAAGTTAAAGCTAGCAAAAATTGCATATTGTTAAAGTTATAGAGCAAAAATGATATTTTAAGGGTTTTTAGCTAAAAACTGATATATGATGCACTGTTAATGTTATACCATACATCCCTAATATTTATACAGATGTTATGAAAGGACCGTTTAAGTGTTTGTAGTGAGGGGTAACTAGGCACACTGAAAAAAACTTACTCCCCATTTTCTAATTTTAGAATGTCAAAAAGCACTCCTGCAATCGAATAATTTTATGACCTGGCATAAGCGCCTAAAATGGGGAGTTTTGGGGAATAAAACTAGCATATAGAATATATTTAGTATCCGAACGCTTATATTATTCGTGCTAGGGAGTTATTTTATGACGGAGGATAAAAGTATGCTATCTTTGGATAAAATTACACCCGATGATAATTTTATTAACTTAATACTAAAATTACTCCCATTCGGGGAATAATATTGCCATGCCAAAAAGCACTCCTTTTTTCGATACTTTTACCCCGGAGTAACTCCCCGGTAAAATCAAGCCCCGGTGTAAAAGTACCACCCCTGATAATGCGGGGTGATGTGATAATATTATGACCAAGTGTAAAATAAGGAATGCATTTAAACAATGTATTGAAACACCAACAATTGATTAACGAATGGTACCTGAGCATCAGCAGGTACATCTTAATTTGGACGCACTTCCAGTGATGGCGCATTGCGGCCGACAGGGACGTAATTTTGCTTCCTAGTTGAGAAGCGGCGTCTCTGGGAGGCAAAACTTCGTCTCTGCCGGCCGCAATGCGAAATCACTGGAAGGACGTTCAAGGTCACAACTCACAAGGGCGTTATGGTTAACACTGAGGCTAACGAATAACATCTGCGCACAGAACCACCGCCACGGATGGCAGATAAAACGAGCGTGTATGGTTAACACTGAGGCTAACGAATAACATCTGCGCACAGAACCACCGCCACGGATGGCAGATAAAACGAGCGTGTATAGTTAACACTGAGGCTAACGAATAACATCTGCGCACAGAACCACCGCCACGGATGGCAGATAAAACGAGCGTGTATGGTTAACACTGAGGCTAACGAATAACATCTGCGCACAGAACCACCGCCACGGATGGCATATAAAACGAGCGTGATCTGGGCTATGAAAGACGTACTGAGACTCATTGGCGTACTGAGACCGCCGCAGCTGAATTAGTCATAATACAGAGGCTCCAGTAGTGTGAGCCACACGTTGCGAGTCACTTGAGCCACAGGTGAGCCACAAGCCACGAGTCACTTGAACCACAGGTGAGCCACGGGTCGCCAGTCATTCGAAGTGGGCATCTCCAATGCTGGTTCTACACTACCTGGGTAACCTCCTACACCTTCTGTGATAAGCCAGATAGGTTTACATCGAATCCCACACTCCGGTAAAGAATCTCGAACAGGGCCCTGCAGGGCCCCGTGCACTTTGTATAGAAGACATCGTGGGCGGCCGTCATTAGGGCCACGGTCTCCAACCTGGTGGCCGGCAATTGGCAGACCACCACACCGTCCACCGATAGTTCCTCACCTGCCTGACGAACCCCGTTTCTCGGATCCGCCAAGGTGCCAATGGTTGTTCCACAACCATAGGCAAGTAGAGCTAGCAGCTCGTCGTCTGCCGTGAAAAAGAATATTGCAGTCAGTTGGCATCAATGCATATCGTACAAATAAACGTAAAGGAAACCTAGGAGAGAAACAAGGAACCGCGTTCGTACAGTAGCTGGCTATGCCATCTACAGTATCTGGAGACGATTCTTTGCTTTTTCCTGATTTCTTTTCACTCTCAAAATTGTAGTACGATGCGTAGTACGTTTGCGTAGTACGATACACTCTTACAACTAAACGTGGTGCATAATTACAAAATAATTATACGTCGTTAAAATATTTCAGTGAAATAAGAAATTGGTACCCGATGTTCCGCTGTCATGGTTAAGTATGGAGTGCAAGTAGGTATCAAACTGCATGTAACTGTGGTATATTTGGAGACAATGAAGACAACCATGAATGGAGACAACCTGAATGGAGACAACCATGACTTTTCAATATCACTAGAGTTAAACAACACTTTTTGACTAATAGCAAAACCAACGACGATTGGCTGTCCAAAGGTGAGGTACAACATGTTGTCTCGCCCGTCGTTAAAGTGCCACCTTTTTACGGTTTTCGGTTTAAAACGGTTTTCAGTAGACCTGACCCACCTATGACCTACCCTGAAGTCTGTTTCCCGAAATTCGTCCTAGTTTTCGAGATATCCGCATTCGAACTTCACATTGATGCCATCACAAAAAGTGTGGGAGATGGGATTTTAACATGGTAATGTTACATTCCCATATTCCACACATTTGTGATGGCTTTAATCTGAAGTCCAATTGCGGATATCTTGAAAACTAGGCCGAATTTCGGGAAACAGACTTCAGGGTAGGTCATAGGTGGGTTAGGTCTAGTGAAAACCGTTTTGTGTAAAAAAAGGTGGCAGTCTACCTTGAAGCCAAAAAAAAAAAAATCATCAAGAAAATAAACAGTTGTCCTGCCCTCTGCTATTAATGTATTACGCCATTGGGATACGTGAAACGTCATTTCTCCATCGTGCAGGAAGAAGCATGCGTGGGAAATACCTCCCTACACTTGGTCTTGGCTAATGTTTTGGCCTGACCTCGTATTTATCGAAAATACCTCGGGCCTAACTTTACATTCGCTAAAAAAAATCAGTCATAAACATTATTCCAGCCCTGGCCAGGAATATATTGTCTACGATGATTGGCTCGAGCCCAGTTATATAGAAGAAGAGTATCCCCCCCCCCCCCGGCACGATGTGTTGCTAGCAGAACACCTCATCCGAAAAGGTGTGCTTGTGCCCGTTCAAAACTCACCGTCCTTGTCGGCCGGCTGCACGTTTATCATCGTCTGGGCATACTTCTTCGCGGTATGTCTGATTTTGTGCAGGACATGCTCCTTCACGTCCTCCTCGAGCCCCATGATCATTCCCAAGTCAGTCCACACCTGGAAACATCGTAAAATCACATTAATGAATGGAATTAACATCAAACAACAACAAGTGAACATTATATCATTGTGGAAGGTCAGGTCAGGTAAGGTCAGGTCAGGTCAGACAAGGGAGCCCAACCAGGTAAGAGAACCAGGTAAGAGAACCTGCACTTAACATGTTGGACGAGTCAGATGCGTAACCACGAGTTTGAAGTTAGGTACTGGGGACCACATGGAGGGCCGCAAAGACCAACTATTATATTTCAGGATCAGCCTTCGCCCGATTGGGTGGGGTGGGGAGTTGGGGGGGTGGGGAGAGGGGAGGGGGGCATTTTTGGCCACACCTGCCAGTTTTTGTTGGGCGTGTAAGGAAAACCGCGGCGCGCACCGCCGCGAAACTTGGTATAGCCTATGATGCCTCAATTTCGCATCGTGTGTGAAAATTTTGACCGCAAGTCACCGAAGGTCAGGCCAGCAGGTCAAGTAAAGTAGCCATGCCTCTAAAAAACTTTGTTACTGTCATTCCAACAGTTAACATCCCAGAAGTTTGAAACTCAAACTTTTGCATGAGGAAATCAGTATGAACAATCGTATGTCTCAAAATTTTCACATCGGTGACCTAATGTCAGGTCAATTTTGAGACCTCTCCGTTATAAGTCATGGGAAAAAATAAAATGCTCTTCTTTTGGCCAAAAACACATTCAAACACCGTGACACAGGTTAACACTGAAGCGGAAAATTGCCCCTGTGACCCTTTCTATGTCCCTGACGTTATATCAGGTCATGATGAAACATCTCCAACAGTTTTTTACCATAACTTTTGGTAGAAATATGCCAGGGCGCTTAAAACACAATGAATGGGTTCAGCTTAACAATACCAATCGAATGACATGCAACATGACCTTTTCCGTGACCTTGACCAGGGGTAAAATTTTCAAGTTGACATTTTCAGGTCAATTTCTAATTCATTCGACGCGTCTCGACGAGACAAACGCGATGCCGGAAAAATCAGCGTTATAAAAGTTTTGAGTCAAAAGGTAGGTATGATCCAAAAACCTTTTCCGCAAAAACGTCAACCTGGAATCTAAACCGTTGACCTTGGTCAAATCTGAGAACATCACTCAGAAAGGCATTCAAAAGAGCTACCGAATGCGCTTTCCCGCAGAAATGCAGCTCTATCGGTTCCTGACTTATGTGCCTATTTGTGAAAAGTTGTCAAAATTGGGAACAAAAGTTCGTGAAAATTTTACCTTTGGTGACCTCCAGTGACCTCAGCGTTGACCCGATCAAAAATGGCAAAAGTAATTCTGAAAGACAGTGTAGCGAGATATCTGTTGGTTTTTACTGCGTCTTTCTAGCTTGCTTACTTTCCGAGATAATCTGGTGTGGCCAAAAAGCCCCCCCCCCCCTCCCCCATAGCGAAATTGGCTGAGAGGCCCACCCGGGCGCTGGCTAAACAAAATATCCATAGTGTTGTCTTTTCTTACTACATATTACTCTTCACGTCGATTTAGAGACAATATTTGGTAGCAAGTTAAGGAGGTCTTCGGTTTTACTGGGGACGGTCCCCAGTAACCCAAAGTTACTGGGGACCGGTCCCCAGTGTCCCCAGTGGTGGTTACGCGCCTGGGACGAGTTCCTCCCTGCTGGCGTGCTTGCCTCCTACTTTTCAGCACCTAGAGCCGCCCCTGCCATACCTAGGTATTTGGAGCATTTCCATACAGTGTCCCTAAGTGAGATGCTTATATTGTTACTTACACTGTGAGTTGCATGGTTTAAAAAATATCACAAAATCTATAACTTATTAGCTCTACATAACAATCTTGATCACAACTTGAACTAAATCAGGGTAATTGACATGGCTGTTTCCCCTGGTTTCAATGGCCTTGAGCATGTCATGGGGGACAATTTGTCTTCCAGAATTTCATCATCGCGGAAATCTTCGTCCGCAAATCTACGTCAACGCATTTCTTGGATTGTATGGTCATACTACGGATTACTGTAAAGTCATACTAACAAAACACAAAGTATACAGTAATTTCAGCTTACCTTCGAGGACTGGGACGCTTGCTCGGTTCTCTGACAGAAGGCCTTGGTTCTGACGACTTGAGCACAATGGCGGTCGCAAATGGTCGCGAACTGCAGAGACATTCCGAAAATATTATTCTTGGAATAATACTGTGCTGGACGAATAGATTAATCACTTTTAGATTAGTTATGTCACAACGGATTAGGATTATCAAGAAAGTGATACAGTATTGCTTGAAATACGCTCCCGAATACTCCCGAAGAATGATGTTAGTAATGCTACCACATAATATTACTCCATGGTTATAAAATTATTGTCCGGACATGATAGTTTTATCACGAAGGAAGTAATTTTTATACCTACCTGAGAATAGTTTTATTCTGTCGCGTCAATTTATCAGCCGTAATGGAGTATAAAAATTACCCTAATTACTCCACAGCGGTTTATTTTTATGCAGTTTTGATAAAAGTACTCTAGCTGTCAATTTTATTACCATCTAATGGGAGTTCAGCACAAATATATTCCAATGACCTTGTTTATCACTGTGAAATAAGCTAAAATTACCCCATGCCTCTTTGAGACTGATATAAATTTATAACCCGAAAGAATAAAAAGGACACGTGATAAAATTAGAAGATGAAATTAGCACTTGCTAAAACACAAAAGAGATGATTATAGTACCAGGTTTAAGAATAACTTTCAAAAACGCCCTTAATGCAATGCAGAGAGTAAGAATACGCTACAAAACATAATCATTATATGCCATTGGTGCGTGATTATTCGCCAAACTGGAGTGGAAAAACTCCAAAAATAACTCTCTAGGTGTAAGTTTTTTTCAGTGCAGGCTGGCTTAAGTATGACATTTTGTTTCGAACATCGCTGTTCTAAAATGAAATTAACACATTGGGGTAACCCCGGGCGAGTGGGCGAGCTTACCCCCAACCGAGAGCAATGCCACTAAACCGCTGTTTTCCATGAGATAATAGGTACTGAGTAGGTTTGGTTTACACCTGGCCAAAATATAAATTTTGAAAATAAACGTGTTAATATAGACAAAGTCTCTTTAGCTTGTCGCTCTATTCCAGTGCCCGTACCTATCAGTTATGGATGAGGGGCGATTGCTTGCAAGGTTTTTACTGTAAAAATATGGGAGAGATCTGCTCCATTTTAACGGTTTTGGGTTATACTATGGGTTATACTATCACTTACTATCAATAAGTGTGATTAAGTTTATGTTTGTATGCTACAAGAACGGCTATGTCACTTGAGGTCAACTATAGGGTCAAACTACGTTTTTGCAGATAACATGATAGAAAATGAAGCTAGAGCTTCAAAAATGATGTTATTGTGTTCTTCATCAGCCGAGTCGAATGGTATGTTATATGATGCATTTAGGTAAACGAAAAAATGAATTTTAAGGAATTTTAAAATACATATTTTTTGTCTATTTTGCATCACGATTTTCATCGACCTGTGCCCTATATGTGGTAGACGCTGGCAAAAATACCTGAAGTGTCATAAACTCCAAGGTGTCCAGAGCTAAACAGTACCTTAATATTTCACTTTCCGTCAATATTTGGGGGACACATAATGGTTTCACCATGACTCGTTGTTAAGCGCTGCAGAGGTGGCCGGCGTTACCCCTATGCCGGGCTTACCCCAGAAAAATTTACATTTTTTAAAACTCGAATTACGCAATTTTATACTAATTCCACAAAACCGAGTTTTTGGGAAAACATGGCCAATTAACTTATTTAGCTAACAAGATATCAACATTTTATACAGCACGCAAGGTATGTAATAAAAATGAAAAAGAGCTTATTATGCCGGACTTCCCCCGGCTTTCCCTACCACCATTTGTGCGATATTTTTATCCAAATGGCCGAAAAGACGCCGGATTAGCTGACGCAGGCCAAATAGGTACAGTCCCCAGCTAATGTGTCGTGCTAGTTCATCCCCTCCGTAAGTGACAGACATCAACCGGGTCAATAACTGCACAGCATGCCCATCGCATCCGGCCATACACGTTACACATCTCTGGCTGGGGGTTTCTGGTTCTACGGGCACCCAATGCAGTGCAGTGGGCACAGGCTGCTCTTTATAATCCAAGAACTGGCAATTGGCATAATAAATGCATGCCTGTTACGACGAAATTGCGCCAAATGAGGATTGATTGTCATTGTGAGGCCCACTAATGCCGCCGTCAGGCTATCTCATACAGATACGAGCATGCCAGTAAGAAATAAACACTTGTGTCCATGCCTTTTATTACATATCAATGCTCTCTCGACGGCCGACGCTGTGTCTGCCTAAATCAAACGTTTCCAAAAGCAGCAGCAAAGGGCGCTTGACAAAGATCAATGGTTGGGCGATCGTGCGCTGTTGACCGATATCTCGGCAAATAGTGGATGATGTTTATGTCATAATTTGTGTTAATAGGCAGCAAGCCAACGTATTAATCGACATAACGGCCAAACTCTATTATATTCTCTCAGTTATTGGGCCCAGTCACCGCGCGCCTCTGTCATGCGGTGCAGCATAACTTCAGGCGCACACTACTGCCGCCATCTATCGTCGAAAAGATAAGCATATGGAGACAGCCTGCCCCGCGCGACTTGCAGCCTGTGGGCTGTGTTCATTGCAGGTTGCATTAATAAGCGCCGCCGAATACCAACTACAAAGTAACGGTCAACGGATGTTGCCTGCATTAGGCACAGCTTGATGTCAATGATACGGGATACCTATTAATTCCCCTCGCCCCGCTGTGAAGAGCCCGCCATGTCTCGCCCCGTCCCCGACACAGCCGTCGGTCGCTCCTGTCACCAGATTAACGCCGGCACCGACCTGGCGCTGCGCTACAACGACGTATCGCCTCTGGAGAACCACCACTGTTCTGTGGCGTTCACCATCCTCCAGGAGCCGGCCGCCAACATACTGGCCCGCCTGAGCCCCGCCGAGCAGCGGCGCGCGCGCGAGGGTATCATTCGCTGCATCCTGGCCACCGACATGGCCAGACACAACGAGATCATTGGCCAGTTCCGCGAGATCGTCGACGAGTTCGACTTCTCCGAGCCGATCCACGTGAACCTGGTGAGGAGGAGCAGCGGCGGGCAGTAGATAGGGGTGGGAAGGGTAGAGCATGAACGGTGTAACAAGGAGTGGGGCTTGTGTCCAATTCTTCAGGGTGGCGAGGGTGTATGCGTGCCCTGCACATTTGAGCTGTGTCTGTTAATCGACTTCAATCTGATGCCGCCTCCTGCCTCCTGGGTGGCGATGGAAGGTAGAAGATAAAGCCCGTGTATGACGCCCTTATTCACTTCGGCAGCTGTCAATGATCCTGATCAAGATAGCCGACATATCAAACGAGGCTCGCCCGGTACCGGTGGCCGATCCCTGGATCGACTGTCTCCTACAAGTCGGTATAACTCGATAGACAGTTAGGTAGAGACGAGCACTCAAACAAACACAAGCAGACGAGCGACAACACTGACACTGCACTGTACAGTGTACGGTTAGACGTATGTAGACGTATGTAGACATACATGTAATTGCCATATACGAGTAATTGCCTCGTATGCCGTTGCAGCTGGTTAAAACGTGGACGACTGCACGGTACACACGCACAGCCATACGGTTCAGCATACCTGCTACAACAGACTCGAGCTGATCTGCTGCACCTGAGTCTTGATGTGGCACCACAAGCTCCTTGTAATACCATTAAAAAATACATTTTTTATCGTAATAAAGTTTATAGGACGTCTTCCCTGTACGCATTTCCCGTCTTGCATTGTCTTATGCTATAATTAAATGTTATGTAAATTGTTTATTCTGTACCGGATGACGTTCTGTGTTCATTACGGAGCGAGCGAAGCGAGCGGAGTCTTTCCTTAGATTAACGGAAATTTCTGAGTATGAGCGGCCGGCCGGCTGGCCGTGGTCACGCCTTTACGAGGCTTATATCTCAGCAACCACTTGACCGATTTACATGCGGTAATTTTTGCATGTAAGGCACTGCATATCCATGTGCCAGAGTTGGGGTGCTGCTGCACGTGCGCACGTGCTGGGGTCGTTTCCAGATCTCGAGAACGGCTCGACCGATTGCGCTCAAATTTGGTACACAGTTAGGGACCGGTTAGTAGGGTGCCGTGCACAAGTCAATTGGGACCCATTTTGCACGTGCGCACGTGCAGGGTGCCGCTTCCAGATCTCGAGAACGGCTGGGCCGATTGTGCCCAAATTTGGCACATCGCTAGAGACCGGTTAGTATGGGTGCCGTGCACAAGTCAGTTGGAGGTACCCCCTCGCAATTTCGCACGTGCAAGGCCCACCCTCTCGCTCGCTCCGTTAGTCGCCCCAAAAGGCGTTATACTGGTAGGTAATACCTGCTAAAAGCTTTAAAGCAGATAAGTATAGGCATAAGTCGCAGGGAATAGAGAAATATAACTATGTCACGCTTGTGCGCTTTGTAGGCATACAGTAACTTACTCGTAGACGTTACTGCATACCCACTGTTACCCGTTTTAACGTTATGTTGCCCGTAGACGTCTTAACTTTGTTATAAAAACAGTTTGTTGGATATCACATCTTAGCTTCAGTCAAGCTGCTCCGGCGGCGTATGTCCCTGCTTGACAAGCTTGCTTTCTCTGTAAGAAGGAGTAATCCCTATGCTGACGATTCACCCGCTGTGCCTCGGCAGGAGTTTTACAACCAGAGCGACCGTGAAAAGGCCGAGGGTCTGCCCGTGACACCGTTCATGGACCGCGAGAAGGTCAACAAGGCCGCCTCCCAGTGCAACTTCATCTCGTTCGTGCTGATGCCGCTTCTTACGGCCGCTGCCGAGCTGCTCAAGGAGCTGGAGGTGAGTCGAAGGACAGACGGTCGAGCCGCACCTCAGGTGCCGGGGGAAGCCAATATCTTACACGGTATATGAATGGGGAATAGAAATGGCTTGATGCAAAGCATGTCCGCCATTTTTGTCACATTGCTGGAAATAATTGCATCGCCCGCCATGTACTGTTACATAACATGAGTAATTGATAGGGACACTGTGCTCTGTGGTGTCATGAACTGCAATTGAGTCCTATGAATGCAGCGAACTTGTCTCTTCGCTACTGAAACACTATTTGTAGACGGTAAAGCCCTCTGCATGGACCATAGTTGGGAAGCTATTTTCAATTTAGCCGATACCTGCGCCCTGCAGTGGTCGCTCCTTTGCCTGCTCCTTGACGTCCCGTCCCTCTGCTCCTGCGCAGGGTCTGGTGCTGCACCCCGCCCGCGAGGCTCTGGAGCACTACTCCCGGCTGAATGAGCTGCCCCGCTCGGCCCGGACCAGCCTGGAGACGACGAGTGTACTGAGCGGCTCGTCCCCTACCGCACCCATCGAGCCCGTCCCTGAGGACACAGAGACCTCTGAGGACACCCTCAACGAGGCAGAGGTCAGCGAGCGCTCGGCCAAATTCAAGATCGCCACCCGGAACGACTCGGTGTGCCGCCGGGTGAGCGAGGACCCTCCGACATCCGTCTCGCTGCCCAGCTCCGGCTCCGGCGAGGGCAGTCTGCGCATCTCGCGCTACTTCCGCTGGATGCTGTCGCGGACGGAGGAGAAGCGGCCCTCCTGGTCGGGCCCGGAGCGCACGGCCGGCGCCGTGGTCGGCATGATGACGGCCGACCGGCGCCGGCCCGCCTCCAGCCCGCACGACGCGCGACTCATCACCAACGGACGGTCCGGGGCGCGCGCCTCGCCCGTGCGCGCGCCAAAACCCGGCTACCTGCGCTCGCTGGTGCTGAAGAAGCGCGAACAATCGGCCGGCGCGCGCGACGGCTCCAGTTAGACGCGGTGCTGGCGGCGGGCGCGCGGGTCGCGACCGGCGCTGGCTCGAGCGGTGTGCGCTTCTGTGAAGGCGGCGGAGAGTCCCAGCGGGGCAGCGGGTGGTGCGAGGCCAGTGCGAGGTACCCAGGTGTCGGGTGGTCCCGAGACGTGCGCTGCGGCGCTGCTGAGGTAGGGACGGCCCAGTTACGTTCGGTCGGCGCTGCTCCCGGTACTGTGGGCGTCGCTCGCTGTTGTGTTGGTGTTTGCCGTCTCGTCTAATGCCAAATCTCGCTGGGCCGATGGGGCGGGGCCGACCGGAGGGGTATCGCGCGGCAGACAGCCGGGAGGTGTCGAGTCTCAGTGAGACTGGGGTTGGCTGGTTCTCAGTGTTTCGTCCGGGTCAGATTATAAACGAGCGATGCTCCGCTCGGGAACAGGACCGACTTGCGGCTGCCACTCCTGTCGCCAATGCCCCAGTATTTTTTTTTTCTCTCTCTCAAATGTTTCGGTGCGTGTGATGCCGCTTCGGCAGCATAGAGGCCCGTGCATATCACTATGTAGATGTGTGTCATTCCATAGATTGTGGACCAACGTCCTTTTTACTGTTAGTTGGTCAATGTGAAGTTTCAGTGCTACTTAAAAGAGATTTCAAGCGTAGACCTGACAAAAGTTGAATGACTATCATACCACAAATTTTGCAATGCCCGGTGCATCGTAGTATTTGGTGAGACGATGCCCAAAATAAGCTGCCGAAGTGGCAGGCTTGTGCTTATTTATTATAATTTATTTTTAAAACCCTTTCGATTTACGTTGTCGTGGTTCATATGCGGCCTATGCAATGCTCAGTTGTTCTCTGTCTTCTGGTAACAAGTCTGACCATGTCTGACATAACATGCGACACTATCTTATCGGCACAACAAAAGTCAAACACTATAGCTCCTATCCCTCAGACCTAAATAGCCTACATGTCCCTATACATATAATATTCATATCAGGTCATATATGTCATGTGTTGAGCTGTGGTGAAAGGAAGAGCTCTTAAGAGCAGAGCGAGATGGGACAAGTAGGATTGTTGATATTGTGTCAGGTAAGTCAGCTGTATCTGTTAAAGAAACGAATGACCTTGCGGTAGCCATTTTCGCAGGGGAGCTGTGCGCTTTGTGCAGCGAAGTGCACAGTTACCGATGTGTTATCATACCATAGGCTATGCTGTTAAAGAGCAGTATGGTGCATGTGTCTGAGAGTTGTATATCGAGAATATCGACGGCTGCTGGGCGGCCCCAGTCACAGTTTGTGCGCTGTGCGATAGTTCCGAGGAAGGGGCGTGTGTATGGCACGGCTACCGGCGCTGGTTTTGTACGCCCTGTTTTCGTTGATTCGTCTGTTTGTTTCGCCTCTGCAGTGCAGTACTGTGGTGTGTGTGCCCGGGTGACCTGTGCCCCGTTCAGTGATGTTATTCGGGCGGCGCTCGGGCACAGCTCGGCGGCTGTCCTGGCGCCGCGGCGAGCTCGCTGTTAGGTCCGGCGTGGTTCTCGTGCGAGGGGAGCGGTCGGCTGACAGGTTCAGTTGCGACTTACCAATGAGACATAGTCACGGGCTACGGTACTCGGGGCGGAACTCGCGCAGCGCCTGACACCCGCCCGCGGGCCAGCGCGAGAGCGTTATATTCCGTCTGTGTGCGTGAGTGAGTGTGTGCAGGCGCTCTCGCTGGTTCATGTGCCAATGTTGTGTTCACCGGTCGCGGTGGGCGAGACTTCCAGTATTAGCTGAATGTGCGACGTCGCCGCGCTCGACAGACAAAGCCCGGACGTCGCGCTTCACTCGGGTATTGCTGCCGCCGTTTGATACTGACAATGGTTGATCAAAAGCTACGCTTCGCATTGATGTTGATAGTTGATACAGTTGTTTGTAACTCTGGTCCGCATTGGGTCCGTGTGTGTGTGTGAGATGTGGCGGAGGCAACGACGACGGGTTGTAATCGACTCAGAGGAATAGATCGGCTCAATGAGGCATCAAACTTCGATAACGCCTGCTCGAGTGGGATCCGTAATCCTTTCAGGAACTTGAGCCTCGCTAAATGATTTAATTTGCCCGCTTCTATCCTTTTATGTTAGGAATGCCGTTCGCGACACAGCACTTTTATACTTGTGGAGATGCAGGGACATATACCTATGTTTTTTTTTTAATAAATTTACTCCGAACCTTTTGAATGGAAGGATTCACAATGTCAGAGTCCCCGGCCCGCTAAGCGAAGCTTGTTACGGTGACCCTGCCCTCTACCCTCCGATCGCGCAATTCCAGGGTGGTGTTTCACCGGTGATAGCAGCACGCTGCTATTCGTGTCAAATTGGGTTTCCATGGAGACGTCAACAAGCCCATTGCTCCAACACTACCACAAGTGTGACGTCAGCAGAATAGCAGCGTGTTGCTATCACCGGTGAAACACCACCCTGTTCTATGGCTGAATTTGGAGTCCAAAGTTTAACGTGCGCACATAGCCGCGCACGGCCGGTCCCCTCACTGACTTCGCCTGGCTGCGGCCTGCCACCAACCGCAACCATACCTGTCAGGAGGCCCATAAACGTCAAGCGCCCGTCGCGCTACGAACCCGGACTGTTATAACCGGGAACGCGTGCTCTCACCACGCGGAGTCCAACGCTCTACCCACTGAGCTACGGGACCGGCATATGATAGTACGGCTAAGCCTGTGGAGTTACAGACGTCTTTCGGCATTTATTGAGAGCCAAATTTTGTGTGTGTGAGTGTGTGTGTGTGTGTATGAAATTCGCGTATTTCAACGGAGCCCGAAGCAAAGTCACAATAAGTTGTATAATAAGCCATAAGCTATTATAGGTTGTAGGTATTATCAGCTATACAAAGCTAAGGAAAGCTGTCCTATTTATTATCTTCGACAGGCAGAACTATTCTGAAACTTGAAAATGTGTGGAAATTAGAGTAGACAATGTATTGTCTGTAATATACTTTACACTTATTCTTCCTAAGCACGAATGAACAAAACGCCTTGATTTGTCGGCGAAAATGCCGTTCTCGCGAGGGAACTCAGTTAAAAAGCCTAGACAACTCCGTTTTTCTGTCATTCTGCCACGAATTTAGGTTTTAGGTGCCGAGCTACATACAGATCTTTCCCGTAGCCGATGTTCTAAGAGAAGGTACATATTCCGATATCATGTGACAAAAACGGTTAAGATACAGGGAAATACGAAACCATATTGTATCCTTCTCTTAGGCTGTAATCTTTCGCGCTAGCCTTCTTCCAGCAGTCGTATTAAGTAAATATAACTATTATAGAATGAATTGAATTAAGGTCTGAGTCTGGTGCCGTCTATCATTAGTATTATGTTACTTATAGACAGGCGACGCATCTGCGTCCTCTCTGGTTTGGTCATCACGTGATGTGTATGCTGTATACTCTGAGCGGTCGCCGTCATTACATTCACTGTAACTCAATATGAGATCTAATTCTGAACGTCATAGTGGTCCGCGTATATCAAACACGAGGCTATTAGTGAGACGGCTTTCGCGTCTGATTCATGAGAAATGAGAAGGATAAAAAACTTGTGAAGGGTTTCGGAAACCACACATATGTAGGTACCGTAGGTACCTATCACAGAAAGAAACGAATGGAAATGATGTCTTCCCTTCGAAAACGAAATAAGAGCTGAACTGAATCATAAATAAAACATGAGATAAAAATAAGATATTCCATTACAGGTAGGTACTAACACCGATGTATTGTTCGCTAAATGAAAGACTGCCATAAAATCGAAGCTTTGTTTCCGACGTTAAATGCCTAATGGACCGGCTCTTTATGCTCATAAAGGTACCTATGCACAATGCACATCGCACAAACATACGATTTTATGTCTCACAGAGATCACTGACCGGTTACTAGTTAGATACCGAAATATATTTTCTGCACTTCACGAATCGCTCACGTGATCATGCAGGTAATGTTGAACACAGAGTTTGGGACAGTTCTCGGTAGGTCAGCTTATCTATTTGCCGATAGATGGCACAAGTGGTGAACGCCTGGAATCATACTGCACCGCACAACAGCTGAGCGCTGCCGGTGCAGCATATCTGCAGGCGTTCCACGCTGGGGTCACCTAGTTTCGAGAAGATGCATGTGCTAGTGATGAGAAAACGGCCGTGCCCACATTCGCAGAAAATGATGAAAAGAATGAGTTTTACAATTGCTCGATTAAGGCAAATAAGAAACAAAACAATGCTCGCAATGGTAACACAAGAAAGCATGTTACATAAGTTGTTTTGCTGTTTCGACCTGCAAAGAAACCACTGACAAACCATTAATGCGAATGCTCTTTTACTCAGACGGAGCCCATTGTATGACTGGCTGCCAGTAGCAGTGTGGCTTGTCCGCTGCGTTTACTTATAGGCGGCGGAACGGGGGGGGGGGGGGAGGCACCGGGGCACCATGCCCCCCTTTGATTTTGGCATTTTTACAATAGCCCTATGGGCGTTGCATGAAAAGAATGGGACCAAAAGTCGGCAGTGCCCCCCCCCCCTATTGAAGGTATTCCGCCGCCACTGCGTTTACCCGCACCTAATCCACTCAGATCCCCTCAAACAACACCGCAATTCGCGCTGCCTCCTGCTCCGCCCGTTCTCGAGCCGGCGGCGACATTTTGCCACGGTGCTCCGCCGCGTCGGCGCCGCCCCACCTGTCGTCCGAGGTGTTTGCTCAGCTCGACTTTACAGCCGACTCGCAAACAGACCGATTGTCGTCCTGCCGGGGCTTAGGCCGACCTAGCCCGACAGTGGGGTGCATCCGGTAGACCGCCGGGGAGCTAAGGTGCCTGACGGGTGTAGGTGTGAGAGTGCGGGCGTCAGGAGACACGTGGGTGTAAGACTAGGTAATATGTAGGTATGGAAGCCAAATGACTGGTGTGTGTAGATGTGCGTGCGTCAGCCAGGATCCGGGCGGTGGTCAGTCAGGAGTCAGGCGGATGTGGACTGGAGACGTCAGACGACGTTTTACGTCTTCACCAGCGGATGAAGACGTAAGACGTCGGTAGGTGTAATGCCTGTCGGACTGTTTGTGTAAGGAGAGTCGGGCGGGTATGGGACTGTGGGAGTAAGACGTCAGTAGGTGTAACTGCCTGCCGAAGTGTAGTCTGTGTAGGCGAGACGAGTCGGGCGAGTGTGGGCGTGCGGACGTCGGCGGCGGGTGGGAGCCTGCAGCGGCACTGCGCTGCTGGAACTCATCAGAGAGGTAAACCATCAGGCAAACACTGCACGGCCCGCGGTAAACTGTCTGTCACTGGAACAATCAGCACGGCCACCGCTCCGGGAAACCGAGCTAAATCGACGCTGATCCAAACAGCCCAAACGACCGATCGCCGATCGCTGACGACGGCCGTCGGCGGCGGCGTGACGGCGGCCAGATCAACCCCCCCCCCCTCCCCACAGCGGCGGAGGCGGACTGCGCAATAGCCTGCCGTGACTCACTCTCCCAGGATCGTGGGACTTTGATATCGCCCATATGCACGTAGATCAAACGACCCGGTCCCAAATGCCCTACGCCGTCTGATTTAGATTTCTATTTTTGGTCATTTTACGTCCACCCTCGTTTCCGCTTGCCTTGTTCCATTTAAGCCCGTTTCCCACTTGTAGGTATAGATCTTTTACACCCCGTGCAAAGTTGTATTCCATTAGCCCTGTTATATATTTTCTATCATTTATTCAATTCACACCCCGCAGTGTCAGGCTAACCTGCCCTAAATATCCCCAGCTTCACGTTCACAGTTTCTGTCAATTTCGAATCTATTCGCCTGTCATCCGTTCTAGAAACCGTTGCCTTTGCCTAGTCCTTTTACAGGATGCCAGGCGTTATGATGGAGAGTAACTTGTTTATAAAGGTGTTCAAAGTTCGTCTACATAAGATCCGAAGAGAAGGTGTCCCAAAAACCGTCAGCATAACAAATGCAAATCATATACAAAATGCCTTTCCAAACTAAAAATTATCATTCAGTCATAAGTCATCTATGATCTCACCAAACTTAGCCTAGCCTAACCACGCCGCGTATTAAACGGGGCTGTTGCAAGCTCAGCTTTACCTGCCATTTGAAGGCACAATTGCTTATTTGCTTGGCTCAAAAGTTTGGAAAACTTATCAAAGTCGCTGACAATTCTTTCAAGTCCAAAAACTTTGAGCGACAAAACATACTCTCCGAAGCTTAAGTTCCATTGTATTGAAAATGAGCGTCGAAAGCACAAGCTGAACGTTATTCAAGTTCACGACCCTCCCCAACCGAGAAATTACTGAAAAACCGTCAGCAGTGTCCGAGACACATTGGTGTGGGATACCAAGATACCTATCGAATAACCCCTTCAAAGCCCATTCAAACAAATAATTCCAAATTTGGCGAGCACGGCTAACAGTTTCTCTCTCCGAGACGTGTCCGCATATCAAAACAATAATACGCCACTCTCAAACAACTCATCTTATGTCACGCCGACCTCCCACAACTCATAACCGTGGCGCCATCTTTCTAACAATCCCGCAGGCCCTCCCTCTCTCCCTCCTCATCTTCAGCACACCTTCCCGAATTCACTCTCCTCCTTAGAACTTCACCTTCCTGGGCGTTCTGGTGGCGGGCGCGGCGGAGACAGCCATCGTCTGCGTCTCCCTAAAGTCGTGCTTGTAGTCTTCCTCCAGTGGCCCGTCGCCGATGGTCGCCAGTCGCGGCGCGGTGGCCGCCGCCTCCTCCTCTCGGCGCTCCGGGCAGTCATCGGCCAGGTGGTCGCGGCGCTGGCACACCTTGCACGAGCCGCCCTTCGGGTAGACGCCGTTGGGGTTGAGCGCGCAGTCGCGTGACAGGTGGCCAGTCTGGCCGCAGACGAAGCAGACGGCGTAGGGCAGTTTGCCGCCGTCGGAAGGCCGCCGACACTCTGACAGACGGTGCTCGGTGGAGCCACAGCGGAAACAGAGGCCCGTCACCGGAGCCTTCAGGCCCGGAGCGCGGTTCGGACAGTCGCCGATGAGGTGGCCCGGCTGACGGCAGCCCAGACACACCTGCCGGAGGAGGGGAGAGTCAGATGACGGTGAGTGGGGAGGGGGAGATACCGAATAGGCGCCATATACCGAACACAATTGATCGAAGAACGCACAGACGCGAGTAACACGCAACGCACTGAACAGTAAATAACTCCACTTATGTACTTCCCGGGATGGCACCTGAACTATACCTATCCACACTTATCTTTTAGTAAAAAGTCCCACCCAGGGCTATATGCCTCATGTCCACTCACCCGCTTAGCGTCTCGTTTGCGTTTCATCTCCTCGCGTCGGCGGGCCGTCTTCATCGTCTGCTTGAGGACCATCTCGGAGACGCGCTGCAGCTTCAGCTGGCGGCGCAGCTCCTTGAGCCGGCCCACGGCGTCCGCCGTCATCCAGACGCCGTCAAACTTCACCATCCGCTCCTCCCGCGGTGCGCCGCCGCCGGGGTTTCGCACGTCCGCCACTGTTCGGCGCTTCGCCGGCGGAGAGCGCTCCTCACCAGGCGTGTCCGCCTCGCCGTCACTCGCGTCGTCCTTGTCTTCCTCAGCGTCAGACCCCTGGGCAACATCAGCATGGTCTCCGCCATCCTCGTCGTCGTTTTCGGCCGCGTCGTCTTGGAGCCGAGCGGCGGCGGAGGTGGGCTTTCGGGCACCACGGGCCGCCAGCTGCGAGAGCAGCAGTCGGTGCTCGGCACGTTTGCGTTTCTTCATCTCGCGTTTGAGCGTCTGCGGGTCGGAGATGGAGGCTGCCAGCTCGGCGCGTATCCGCTCCAGACGCGGCACGGCACGCCGGCGCACCCAGTAGCCCTCGAACTGGGTCATCAGTGGACCCTCGGCCAGCAGAGGGGGACCGGAGGCCGCCGCCGGCAGCTTCTGCTGCCACTTCTGCTTCTGTGGCTTCTTGTTCTTGTTTTTCACAGGTAAATTACCGATGTTTTTAGACATCGGCTGTGCATCCGATGTCTCTTCTGCTGAGAAATCATCTCCATTTTGTTCATCTTTCATGATAGGAGGCTTCACCATGTCACCATCTTTTATGACATGTTTCTTCTTCTCTTTGTGCATGTTGGCATCTTGATTTTTCCTTTTCTTTCCTTTAGTTGGCGACTTAACATCATCTTCCCCTTGCAGATTGACATCAGGAACTTTTCCTTCACTATCTCCTTCCAAATCAACTGATGTGGCAGCAATCATGTTCAAATGCTTCTTCTTTTTCTTTTTTGCACCCTGAGATTTCTGTTCTTTCACTTCCTTATTTTGATAATTTTCCATGTTCACTTTGGGTGACTCAGCTTCCATTGAGTCATCTGCATCAGATTTGCTGGAATAGTCAACATCATCCGAGAATTCTTGTGGCAGACTCAGACGCTTTGCATCTATCTTTTTCCCCTTTTTCTTGCCAGTGGATGCTGTCCTGAAGTGATCTAGCTGAGCTGACAACTTTCCCTTGGCTTTCTTGCCACTACCTTTCAGAGTTGCCACAGGTTTTTTGACAACAGAGGCATTTGAATTGGCACCAGCAGCTGCAGCCGAGTGTTTCTCAGCTGATGGAGGTGCCATTTCTGACCATGGCGTAGCATCTAATGGAGGCTTCTTGATGCCTTTCGTTGAGTACCGAGCAAACCGAGTCATTGCTCAAGCTGAAATGAAAGAACAGTTCACATAAATTATTGTCGGACACAAAAATGAAAAATGCAACTTTTTACCATATTACATTTACACAATGATTTTGACAAAACCACTCATTTTAACAAAATTGACTACCTACCTACCAATAGCCTCTTCAGCTCATGTCAATGAACCTAGTTACAAATCATGCGTTCTGCGGGGTAAAATGAAATGAAGCTGAGCAACAAAATAACTTGAGAGCAAGGCCGTATATAAGCTTGAGAGAGATTATTAATAACAGTAACCTTCTTTTTAAAAACGTACCTTTGCCCTGCAATCTTCACAGACGACGCACGTGCGCACTGCGCGTGCTCCACCTGCGAGCAAAATATGTCGCTAGAGCGCCAAGAAGCGCAAATATGGAAGCATTGCACTAATTGCTACCAAATCCCTAAATCCCTTCAGCTCCCCCTATTCCGCCGTCGCCAAGCCGACGGTGCTGGATCGATGAGCGAAACACCTTCTATATACCCTGGAAACACCCACCACCAAAACCTCATCCCAGACCCTAGAAACGTTATCAAATATCAGTACTGTTGGCTTCACTGGAAAGGGGGATTAAGAAGACAAGCCTCGGTAAGTAATTAGAGTAGTCGGTCGCCAGACGCCAGGCATGAACTGTAAAGTTTTTGAAAGGCTTGTTGATGTTCGCAGTTCGACTTTCAAAGAGGCTTCGTATTTTTTTTTCCGGATGGCGTTATTTCCCTCGCCATCCGAATCAGGAAGTCGACAATACAATGAAAAATCCGCAAATGCCTACGTGAACTTTTTCGAACATCTCGATCTCGGCTTACATCTGCTGAAACAATTCGCACTCCTTGCGGTGTTTCCAGACGCGACTGTGAGGTATGGAGGAGCCGTACCCGTTCGCGGCGCTGCAGCTGCTGCTCACCTCCTACCGGCTGAAGCGGTGGCTGCACCTGGACGACGAGCCGCCGCCGCCGCTGCCGGACGGCTGTGAGGACGTGGACGTGGGTCAGGTCCAGGAGCTGGTCGAAACGGGCCTGCTGGACGGCCTGCTGCCCCACCTGACGGAGGTGCTCGGCTCGCGTCCGTCGCCCGCTCCTCCTCTGGCCGCCGGCCGTCCGCGGGAGCGGGTCCCGGGCCGCGGCCGGCGGCGGGACCGTGACCGCGATCAGCGCCGGGAGTTCAGCCTGGCCGAGCAGGACGTCATCATCACCATCCAGGTGCAGGACGACGCGCAGCGGCGCTGCCAGCAGTTCAGCTGCGCCAAACAGGTGCTGCTGGAGCACATGCCGTACTTCCGTGACGTGGTGCGCGGCCAGCAGCTAGAGAACGTCGACATCACCATCCACTGCGAGCTGGCCGTGTTCGGCTGGCTGATGCGCTGGCTGGAGAGCCGCTCGGCGGACGCCGCGCCGCCGGAGCTCTCCGCCGACGTGGTGGTGTCCGTACTTAGCTCGGCCGACTTCCTGCGAATGGAGCCGCTCGTGGATGAGTGTGTGGCGTTCATTGGCGCTGACCTGTCGGCGGTGGCCGGTCGGCCGGGCGTGGCCTGCCTCAGTGACCGGCTGATGGCGCGGCTGGCCGCCCTGTTCGACCACCGCAGCGTTGAGGCGCTCTCTGAGCACGAGCGGCTGCGCAGTCGGCTCTACTGCCAGCTGACCGCGAGGTTGTGTGGAGCGCGGCCGCGGCCAGCCGGAGCCCACCAGCGCACCGCAGCGCAGCTGTTCCGCTGTGCCGACTGCGGCCGACTTCTTCTCCCGGAGGTAGCTGCGCACATACCCTGCGCAGCGCGTAACCTGGCCGTCTGCGCCGACGGCCGCGTGGCGTACCGGCACCGCCGCGACACGGACTGGCAGCTGGGCGCGCACGTGGCCCAGCTCCGCCGCCAGCTGCGCTCCTGGCGGCTCGTCTACTGGCGTCTGTGGGCGGCCGTGAACTTCCTCTGGTGCGCCCGCTGCGAGGCGCCGTTCGCAGCCGCCCACCTGGCCGGCTGTCGGTTCCACCCGGAGCCGGCGCGTTACGGCACGCTCGGCCGGTCGGCAGCCACCCCTCTCGGCCACCACCCGTGCTGCGGGGGTACGGCCGTTCAGTTCGACCCGCTCAGACTGCGCGGAGGTGCTGGATGTCTCCTCCGCGACCACCTGGTGCAGCCGGCGCCAGAGGTCGCGCTGCGAGCTGATGATGGTGTGTATGAGGATCTCCTGGAGCACCGCTCGCTGGCCGTCGAACCGCCGCCGTCCGCCGGGGCTGAGGGGGCGGTGGAGGGAGGAGGAGACGCCGCCCCGCTGCGCGCTCAGACTGAGCTGCAACTGGTGCCGTCTGGAGTCAGCGGCGGTGGCGACTGCGGCCTGCTGCCCGCTACCCTGCGGCCCAGGGAGGGCGAGGCTGCCGCTGCTGCTACACCACAGCGCTCCATATCGCTGGATTCAGCCGACTTCACCGCTTCAGATGACGAGGAGGAGGGCGCTCCTCCGCCGGAACCGGCGGCCGGGGCGGGGGCGGCGCGGCCGCGCACCGCCCAGCTGTGGCGGCGGCGCGGCGGCGAGCGGCCAGAGCCAGCGCCGCCGCCGCCGCCCGCCGTCTGGACCCCAGCCGCCTCGACTCGTCACAACCAGGACGCCCAGCGACACCGTGAGACCGGCGAGCTGCGGCGGCTGGCCGACCAGCTCAGCGGCAGGCAGGCCGGCTGGCGCGCGCGGCGCGGACTCGCCGCCGCCGGGTCGTTCCTGGTGATAGAGCGCGAGCTGCGGGCCTCGGCAGAGCCGCCAACATCCGACGGCCGACACCGGAGAGGAAGGAGGAAATAGTGCTGCGAGAACCCGTCCGCAGGTCAGAGGTAGCTAGAGTCGGGAGATTTTCGAAAAGTCACGACCCAGTCAGGTGCGCCATTCATGAGCCCGCTTGTAGCGAGATAATGGTATGGGCGCCTGTCTCGTTGCACTCAATGCGCGGTACGGATTAAATACACCAATAACACACAACCTGTTCGCAGATTACCTAATTAACGGTAGACTAGAAACGATTGACAAACACACTGATCAATAACAAAGGCCATATATTAAAAATGTAGGATAACTAGGCTTCATAATATCGACCATGTAGAAAACAAATGCACCTGACAAGCTGAGATAATATACACATAAACACTTGGCATGCTTCACAGCTCAACAAACCATTTCATATGGCGGCACCATTTCAGCTACGCACTTTTAGCGGTCAGAGCTGCCCGAACAGCACATCATCGTCATCATTAAACATGGCGTCGATCTCGGCGGCAGAGATGGTGTCCGGTTTGTGTTTGGCGGCCGCTGGGGGCGGCGGCGCGGCGGGGGCGGGGGCGGGGGCGGCCGGTCTGGAGAACAGCCGGAGGGCGGGGGAGGCTGCCGCCGCCGCCGCCGCCCGGGGTGGGTGTGCCGACCCGGAGGTCAGGGGAGAGGTCGCGGCAGGTCGACTGGCGGCCGGCGCTGAGCGCAGGGCGGGGGACGCCGAGTTTGCACCTCTACTACTGCCACCACCGGTTCGCTGTGGGGTGGAGTAGGGCGCCGGCCGGCCTCTGGAGGAACCCCCGCCACCTCTGCCGCGCCACGAGCGGCCACCACGGCCCCGCCAGCAGCGGCCGCCGCCGCTGCCGCCGCCGCCGGACAGCTGAGGGGTCGGGTAGAGCTGCGGCCGCGGCGGGGACGGCGGAGGAGACTCCTGGAGTACAGCCACCTCTGGCGGCTCCTCCACGAGCCGTGCCGACGTCAACTCTGCCTCACTGAGCTCGGACAGCTGACGGCAGAGGGCGGGTAAAAGTCATTGACCACATCACGGCGCAGTTCGGGATATACGGATTAGGAAAGAGCAAAGACGGGTCGGACGCATTCTGTAGACAGCTGGACAGCTGAAACTGCTCTCTATGGGGAAAAAAATAAAACATCACTTCAGAAGTCAGACAATGAACTGAAATTCAATTGTCACATCTAAGTTCGATCCGCCAAATTAAAAAGGTAACCATTCAGAGGCAAAGCTCATTCATCGTGGGCTGGGTTTAAACCTCTACTGCCAATTCAGGACCAACTCCCCTTCCCCAGCCCCAACACCTACCCGTACGACGGGCGCGGAGTCGGCCCCGGCCGGTGTCTCCGGTGCCAGGTAGACCAGACTGCGCCGGGTCACGCTCAGATAGAGCCGCCGTGCTGACTCCCGCCACACGACCACGTCACGAAGCAGTAGTGCGCAGCCCGGCCGCAGCGCGGCGCCACCGTGCTCAAACGCGTCCTTGGCTACGGTTCCCTCCATTTGACCTGCCGGGTAGACGAGGACGGATACAGTGACACAGTCATCACCCGTGTCCCGTTCTGACTGCGTGCTAAGATCTATCAGTGAGCTTCAATATGGGTAGTATCTCAGAAAATCACGCCCCAAATGCAGACATGTTACCATTTATCGAATTCAGCCATTTATTATGACGCATTGACGATGTGTTTAATTTCCGAAGATATGTTGCTGAGAGTTCCATTTCTATGCACATAAGATAGCATCATTTCTAGGATCTTCTCAAGTAACTCCAGACACCTCGCAATACAAACAGCTCTCAATGTAAACAGATGCTCTTATCTATTCACAACGATGCCTCTTATCTATTCACAGCGATGCCCTAACTGCCCGAATAAGTATCTTCCCGGCGATCCAAATCACCAGCTACCGACGTCCTCCCTTCAACCGGCCGGTCCAAAAGCCGTCTCCCATCCCTCCTACTAACCAGTGGGGTCGCGGAAGGTGGCCTGGTAGCTGAGGTCCGAGGTCCCCATCCCCCCTACCCCTCCCCCCCCTACTGACCGGTGGGGTCCCGGAAGGTGGCCTGGTAGCTGAGGTCCGAGGTCTCCCCTATCACCCCCCCCCACACACACACACACAATCACACACTAACCGGTGGGGTGCGGGAAGTCGCTTGGTAGCTGAGGTCCGAGGTCTCACTTGTCCCCCCCCCCCTACTCACCGGTGGGGTCGCGGAAGGTGGCCTGGTAGCTGAGGTCCGAGGTGGGCTCCAGGCTGTGCAGCACGGCCACCAGCAGGGGCACCTTGCGCAGCTGGTTGGCGGCCGCCGCGCGACGCACCGCGCCCAGGTTAATGCGGCGCGGCAGGCCGTCGGCGTCGGCCGGCGAGAGTCGCAGCTCGGCCAGTAGTCGGCGCCACGGCCCGGCCTCCCAGGCGGCAGTGTCCTCCGGCTGCGAGAGCTGACTCTGAGCGGAGGGCGTGGAGAGAGCGGTGAGCGTCGGCGAGTTGTGAGATAGGTTGGGGACGCCGCACTGTAGGATAACAAGGGTTATGCAGGAAAGCGTACTAAAAATGCGAAGCAAAAGGCTGAGCATTGAACGCATTTGGGCATATCGTCCTTACTTCACATTAACGGCAGAAGCTCAAGTCGGACCTTATTGATCGTGGCTGGTGTTATTTCGACCAGCGGGATAGCGAACGACACATGCAACTCCGTACACAACGTTTTCCTCAACAACGGGCAATATAATATGCATATGCATAGTGCATACGTAATTAAAGCTAAACCACACACCAATACAAAAATGTCCGAGTCTGCCAGTCTCTCACGAGTTCACCAAAGTGACTACAGACGGCTTCGCCCCAGCTCACCTCCGAGACCGGGTCATGCAGGCTGGGGTCATCGTCCTCCCCAGCGGCGATCGAGTCATCGTCCTGGAGACTGACCTCGTGCGCCAGTGTCAGCAGAGAGCCCTGTAACAACCGCCACAGCTGGTCAATACTGACACCGTATTATGGTCAGCAGGGAGCCCTGTAACGATTACAGGTCAGGTATAGCACCTCATGGGATCAGCAGGGAGCCCTGAAACGATTACAGGTTAGTTACAGTGCCACAGTGGAATCACCAGGGACTCGGCCTATAGCAACACAACAGGTCAATAATGGCTCACAGAGGTCACAGACAACGGACACAAGAGGTCAGTCGTTGTTCGCGAGCAGGCCGGGTGCTGCCACCGCGGCAACCGTGACCAAAGCCATGAACGAGAAATTACATTCACTAACAGTAACTGTCACGGATCCAAAGAGCTGCAGCAGTTGCTAATCTGAAATGTAATTCCAGAGCTGTGATAACACTAGAAACTATTTTTACATCATCTGCTTTCATTTCCAGGGAGCCACAGAATGTGTCTAAATGTGACAATAACATATGAGCTGGCCATTTGAGCGAATTCGTTTCGCAAGAAATAAAACGATAAAATTTATAGGCGCACCGGAAACATATGATCTGAGCTGTAATTTCACGGATAATTCACATCAGTCTAAGCCAGATAAGCAGAAGCTACGATCTTCATATGCAATTCTCCAACAAGAATGGGGGCGAAATTGCCCTGCGAAAAAAGCAATTGGAATGGGTTAACTATATTTTAACCAAAGAAACCACTTTAACGCTATAATCTACAATCTACTGTGGTGGGTACTGGATAGAATATGCCGGCCAATTGAGTCGACGCCAGCGCAGTCACACCTACCGTCATGGGTAGAATGCCGGCCGGTCCGGGGAAGCGTCTCTTCACTGCCGAGCCCGTCGAGCGCCGCCCACCGGAGCGTGGCACGTCAGACGACCGGCGAGAACCCGCCGGCATGTCACGTGACTCCCGGTCAGGGAGCGTCATGCCGGCCAGAGGTGAGTCACGTGCTCCGTTTCCAGGGAACGCCGACCCAGCGACCGGTGAGTCACCTGATCTCAGGTCAGCTAGTGGACACCGACTGGCTGGTGGGTCACGCGGCGGCGTTTTAGCACCGTTCCGCTTATCTTCCGTGTCACGTGGTGCCTCCCCTATGTCGTCCAGCATGTCACGTGGGCCAGTGGCGGCGCCGCTGGGCAGATCACGTGACTGAGAGCTGACGGCGCCGACGGTCGGGAGGTGGGCGGCCGCAGGAGCCGCCTCGGCCGCCTCACAGGCGTCTAGCAGGTCCGCATCCATTAGATCATCGTCGTCGGCGAACATATCTGCAGTGGACATCTCGGGCGAGGCCGGCGCCGCGGCGGGGGCGGCAGCGGCGGGGGCGGCGGCGGGAGCAGGCCAGGAGGGGAAGGTCGCCGCGCCGGGCCGCAGCCCGAACATCTGGCTGACGCTGACCGAGTCAGGGGTGCAGCTGAAGCCTCCCAGTCCCGGGTCGTCAGGGCGGTCCGGACGGCCGGCGCCGGGAGCCGCCCAGCCGCCGCGCCGCTCGCTGCTGCTGCCGGTAGGAGGGTGAGATGGCATCCGACTTGGAGGCAGGACCTCGTCCAGGAAACCCTGCAAGGTCAGCAAAAGAGGCATTGGCAAAACAGCAGCGAACAAAATAGGGGGAGTATCTGTTTTCACACAAGCAACCCTTTAACTCCCTTTAAATATTTTTTGTCTATAATCACACCATTTACCAACTGCAGTCTGCAAATGTCAATAATAGAAACACCTAACCTCAGCAAAATCAAAATCTTCATCTTCAAAGTTCATTTTCTTGAATTGATGCTCTTCTCAGACAAGATGCTGTGCAATTGAACTACAAATATCTGGAAACAAAATGCAATCATCAGGAAAACAAAGAAAAGGACAGAGATGGTCTGCCTTTGGTGGGAGCAGTGATGGTTCATTGTAATCTGAACCAGTTGTTTTAGCAGAGTTGAGTTGAACAAAATATGGTTCTGATTCACATTAAGGCTAAGCACATCATGCTTTGCCATCCAAGCATCAAAATTTGAATCCTGCCAAAATGCAAATATGCCTGCAAATACCATAGGTAGGTAGCCAGTAGGTAGCTCAAAAGACAGACCCTGCGTTCGATGTCTCTCGGACGACGAAGATTCTACACCGTCCGTCCAATAACATTCCATAACCACAGCCGAGCCCCCACAGACCTTGAACGTGATTGGCCGGACAACGTAATATCTTCGTCGTCCTAGACATCGAACGCGGGGAGTGTCTAGTCTAGAGTGCTGTCTAGTATTAACAAATTAACAATAAAAAATAACATTTTCTGTGCATGTCACGTTCTCAATTCAACCCAAGTATCAAAACAATCCAACAAATTATTACAAATGATTAATGGAATCCATCCCAGCTGGCAAATAATAAAATAGCGTGGCCCTCGTGATGGCTTAACACAAACTTGCGCACCAGCAGGCAGTGAGCTTCAGTTTAGTGATCCATGCCATGAAAATACAAAACTTGAGAAAAATAGCATTTTTTTGTAAGTTCCAAGTGACAAGCTGTGTGCGTTAACCAATAATATGTACTATATTTTTAATTGTTCGGTGGAAAACCTTGCAACACGTGCCGAGAATCAAATGTTGGCGCGCATAATCTCGGGCTCTGGTATTAACTGGATAATTCGCCAGCTGACGCCGTATGGTGGTGCTAGTGGAGCAGCACCATATGACGTCAGCAGAAAACACCGTGAGCAGCTATGAAATGGGAGCGAGCACCACGGAAATATCGAAAGGTGATGGACATGTACTGACTTTGGTCATTCAAGTACCACCAACACCATACAAAAACCATATAATATCGTCTAGACTGATTCTGGAATCGATTCGTTCGGGTATTTAAAACACATAAAAAATGTTTGTTACCAAATTCTGAAACAGTATAAGGATATTCTTGTCCCTTATTTTTACCTTGTGGAGTACCTTTACAATACTTTTACTCGCTTTCTAGCGCGCCCATCACTATCTTTGAATAAGGGCCCTGTTCATGAACCCCGGCGGTCGCTGCGGCCGCTGCGGTCGCTGCGGCCAGCCGGGTTGTTACGTCACAAAAAGGGGCGGGGCTCATGTAGTATGACGAATGTATGACGTCATCTTGCTGCGGCCGCTGCGATCTCTGCGGCCGCAATCCAGCGACCGCCGAGCCTCAAGAAAACTAATTGCACTGAACTTGGCGCACTGAAGTCAAATAGGCGCAGGCCGTGTTGTCATGGAGACGATTTTGTAAACAAATTATCTACCGGTGTGCTTCAGTTGTAAACAATTGTCGGAAACTATTTCGGCAGCAGACGCTGTTCATGGAACGCTGCTGCGGCCGAGTGAGTGATGACGTTTCAAAAATGGGCGGGGCTTAGAACCTGCGGCCGGCCGCAGCGGCCGCAGACTTCATGAACAGGGCCCTGGATTGCAACGCTGTAGGAAAACTTTTTTCATTTGTCATTTCTTCCACTTTTGAGCAATGATAATTTATTTGGTTTTATACATTAAATAATGAGGCCGGCTCCTAACTTTTTAGGGATCTGCAGTGGCCCAGAGAGCAAAATCAGATATTTCCTAGAAACTTGAGGCCACTATTTTCTTATATGCTAAATAATATACAAATATTGATATGTAAAGAATGATACGGGTGTATAATTCTGCAGAAATATAAATTCAAAGTATTTAACATTTTTCCAGAACTTTTCCAAAATCTTCCATAATGACTTCTTTCAATACAAGGTGAAAGCAATTTCAGTTAACAATAAAGCAGTACAAGGCATTACCTTGAGCTGCAATGATCCATAACCAATCGGCACCTGCAATTTGATCTTCGAGATGTACCCTGCCTCTGTTCCCTGACTTTCCCTTTTCGTTGTACCGGGTGAAGTGAATATTCTGTGAATGTTCTTCTGACAGTCAGTTTTTAGTCCTACATTATGTTGTCAATCAGATTTAATTGGTTCAAAAACCGTCGTAGTCCGTCTCATTCGCAGTCCACATCTCCACATGCGCACCCATACATGCTAAAAATTTTCACTACGTATGTACTATGTACCCTGCAGCGTACCCTGATGAAAAATGTTTTGTTGAAAGCAGAGACACTTCCCAAGGTAGGCCATAGTCCATGGCCATATATTTAAGTCAAAACAAATGAAACAGATAAACACAATTCCAATCATCAAGTCAACCAGCATCGACAATCTGCACATAAGTTCTAAATCTATTGTAAGACTACTTTGTATTCAAGCTTTGTATTGCAGAAGGGTGGAAGCTGCATGGAATTATGCGACAATTTCAGCGTGCATCCACGCTCGAAAGAGCAGGGTTAATTGTAACAATACCATAACAATAACGTAATTGTAGGTGTTGTGATTCAGTTGTCTCTTGTCTGTGCTGGCCATTGCGCGGGCGGTCCAGCGGCGGAACTCGGCTTCGCCGCCGTGGCGCGCTGGCAGTTGCTTCTTCTTCTTCTTCTGCATCCCACCGCCAACCCGCTCAGGGGGGCGGCGGGTCGAACGGCGGCTCGGTCTGCCCAACATCCTCGATGAAGGTGACGACCTTCGTCGCCGGGCCGCCGAGGACGTCGACCAGGCGAGGGTCGACACCCCAGCGGCGGCGGCGGGCCGCCTCATAGGCCGGACAATCGGTTAGTAGGTGCGCCGCGCTGTCGGGCTCCCCGCACGCGGGGCATTCGTCGTCGGCTGCCAGGCCAATCTTGTGGAGCGTGTCACGGGTCAGCGGTGATGTGCCGGTCCTCAGCTGGGACAGCGTCACCGACCCCCAGCGCGCCAGGGAGTCGTGGGCAGGCGTGGGGTCCGGGTGCGGGTGGGCAGCGGTTGCCCTCTGTCGCGACAGCTCCCGGACATGGCGCGTGACGGCGGCTCGCGCACTCGACAGGTCGATCGGTGCGCTGTCTTGGTCGCCCGCCGTGGCCTCGCCAGCCAGGCGGTCGGCGGTTTCGTTGACGTCCAGCCCGGCATGGCCTGGCACCCACTGGAGCACCGTCTCGGTGCCGTTCTCAGCGAGGGTGCTCAGCAGCCTCCAGACCTCGGCGGCCAGGGCCATGGTCTGGTTAGCTGGGCCGCGGCCGAGTAGTTGGAGCCCAGACCTTGAGTCGGCGAGGAGGCGGACCGACTTGGTCGATGCCAACTCCCCGTCCTCCAGGCCGGCCACAGCCGCGAACGCCTCGCGCATGGCGGTCAGTTCTGCTCTTAGGCTGGAGCAGACCGCCCCTGCAGGAGCGCGCACGGTCTCTTCTCTGTTGAGGTGGTGGAACTGGATAAGCGCGCCTGCACCGCCCTATTCCGTCCCGCCGCGAGCCGAGCCGTCCGACCAGATAGTGACGTCCGGGTGCGGGAGCTCGTAAATGGCTCGCAGGGCAGCTTCCCTGCGGACTGCAGGCGAGTCCGACCGGCGGGTGGCCACGGGCAGGTCCACCCTGAAGGTGATGCCAGCGCGGTGGCCCAGCCATGGCGGGTCGCAGCTGTAGAACGCCGAACCTGTAACGCAATAAAATTGCAATTGTAACAAAGACCTGCATGGTCAGCACACATCTGCAGTGACTGTCATCCCAAGTTGGTATGAATTGGAACAAAGTTGGGTCATGGTAGCAGACGTAGCACAAGCTGTCGTGATATGCCATACCGTAGGACTAGGTCGTAGGTTGTAAATTTTAGGTTTAAGGCTGTAGGTTGTAGGTCAGGTTAGGTAAGGTTTGGTTAGAAAAACCCATTCTCGTGCATAGGGCAGCTTGTGCTAAGTCTACCTTACCAATACCCAATTTGAATTCCCAAAATTGATGGCAAACAGGCTCTTTGTATAACAAGTGTGGTTAATTGTTCTAATCCCCACTGCAATGTGAGGGTAACTGCTTTTCTACAATCACAGCATTTGAATTCATATAGGTAGCCATAGGTACAATTCACATAGGTTATAGGTATTCGACCATAGCCTCTCCGATTATGCCTTTCACTCGATACAAGCGGGACCCATAGGCCGAGTGGCCTTATAACCCGATGACCAACTAACGTAAGGTAAGGTAAGGTAAGGTAGGTGTTTACATGTTCAGAAAATGATACAAAATATGACACAATTATAGCTGCAACTGGATAGTGGATCAGGATACCAACCTCAACTAAAAGTTCTGCAGCCTTATAACCTAACACGACTAAATTGCCAAAATAAATCCCTTAGTACAATAGCTTGACTTTAAAATAACAGAACCTTTGCATGCAGACCCCGGAAACTGGAGGGTTAAAAAGTAACAAAAATAAACATTCACTAATATCAATAGGTATGTTGCTATAAATTTCATATGTAGCATAAGCGCCAATACTGCCTTTATTTACAATTTTGCTACTGTTTTCCACTCACAAACGCTGCCCTCCGTGGACAGCAGCAGCAGCAGTGAAACGTCACCCGTTGTGTGACATCATCACCCATGACGTAATGGAAATCCAGTTGTTACCAAGGCCCATAATCTCAATATACCCTGCGCATAATAAACAACTGCGCTCTCGATCAGCTGATTGGGGATCTCGTTTTTCTTTTAGAAAGCTCCTAAAAAATGAGACTGCCAAATAATAATGCGGTGAATGATATGTAACTTTGGTGCACACACACGGAAAATGTAGCATGACAAACTTAGGGCCTGTTCCAGCGCCTCCAGAAGAAATTCTTGACTGGAGGCTCTACCAGAGGTTTTACTGGAGGCGCTGGAACGCAATCTGGAGATTTCTGGAGATTAGCGTCATAGATACCAAAAGAATGATGATTGTTCTCTCTTGAAACGCAAAATTTGTTTTCAATTTTAGTTAAAAAGATAAATAAAATTATAGCATTGTAATTTTCTTTACATTCAAGTTGTAAAATAATAAGTCAAATGTCCTTTGTTTACATTCGTGATTGTCACATGTGCACCATAATTGTAGACCAGAGCCTCCAGAGAAATTTGGACCTCTCAACTCTCTGGAGGCTACTGGAGGTTTCTGGAGCTTTGGCGAGAGCTTTCTGGAGCTTTCTGGAGGCGCTGGAACGCTCTCTGGAGGATTCTAGAGCTTTCTGGAGCTTTCTGGAGGTTTCTGGAGGCGCTGGAACAGGCCCTTAGGAATCTTTATTGTTTGGCCTGTGAAAGTATGATGTAAATAATAAGCTTTTGTGCAATGCTATTCTTGGGCTCCGCATAGCTACCGTAAATGGGGGATCGACAATGCGTTGAAGTGGGATTGAAATCGAGCAAAATCAGACTCCGTGTAATTCAAGCGTGTTTGCTTGTTTTGAAAGTTCGGGGCGACAGGATCGTGTGATAGCAATTGCAAACGTTGCCAGATCTATTGTGTCCATACTTCCCAGTGAAAAGGGCGCAACTGACACCATCACCGATTTCAAATAGTTTATCCCAGCCTGCGCCCTGCAGAGTCATTCCAAATAGTCTTTACGTGATGCATGTCATCCACGTGTCATCCCAATCGGTTGGTTTAAACATCAAAGTCCGTTCTAAACATATATTGGAGCACCTACCTTACGAAAATAGTGCGGATGTCTTCACACATTTATCACATTTCAGTACAATACTTGAGCACATCAAA